TTTCTTAGCACTTTTTCGACTACATTGATACTGCATTGCGGAGTTTGTGCGTTTCCGACAAGAATGAGTAGTACCGCGAATCTGTACAAATATTGAAAAAATCTGAAGATATTGTTACATTAATCTCGGCTTATTAAACTTATTCAGAAAAGAAATACGTGATTAATCCTTCTATGGTGTTTCTATGATCCAGACCGTATATTAGGCTTACATAAGTTCTTTAATTATCATCTTATTGGTGCCCAATTTTAACCCTTTGCACTTATATGCATATTTTTATTATATATATATTATATATTATTGTATTGTATTATGTGTATTATTATATAAACGTGATATATTATATATATATTATATCATTATGTATTGTATTATGTATTATTATATAAACGTGATATATTATATCACGTTCTAAGATAATTTTCACGTTAACAAAGTTTAGATTTGAAAAAATTGTTAAAAGCGTAACCGTTGTGTAAGTCGCAAGACTCAATTTCGCATGCAGAAAATGCACTCTGTCATGTAAAATGAAAATACTATAAGTCAGAAAAATTATTTTAGAATTACGGTTAAAGTAGCTTCGAGTGCAAAGGGTTAAAATAATGAACGAGTTTTTTGCCAAATTAATTGCGTAGGTGTAAAATATAAATTGTTACATTGATGATGTTATAATCATTGTGTGTATCAGCAGAATTTGAGGGAATAAATAAATAATTAAACAAATCAATAAGTATCTATATAGATAAGTATACGATTTTGCGTCGAGTTTCCGCGATTTATAGTATTTCTATGTAATGTTTTGCAACATAATTCACGTATCGACATAACGTTTTTTCCTGATAAAACCATAGATCTAAAATAGAACAACATTATCACGCACGATAGATAGATAGAACTCGTGGAATTATCAAAGCGACAACGATTCGATCAAGTGAACGCTATACCTGAAAAATCGACCAAGATAGCACGATGCGAATATTGTTCATCGATCGATGACAATAAAACACATGTAATACACTATCATTGCAGTAACTGTAAAAATTAAGATACGTGATATTTTATTGCTTACAATTTACTATTTCCGTCTCCATCTTACTTTATCTATCTCGTTTCGATAATTCCGCATACAAACTTGTACTTCCTCCTGTATATTTTTACATTGATTATTACATCTTCCTATAAAGTGGAAAGATGTCTTTAAAACGAAAAATTCCCTTAGTCTGATCTAAATGAACCGAACACCATTAGTGCGAAGTTTTCATGAACACCGTAGAAGGATTAAATTGCCCGAGAATCCGCGATCTAATCGAAACAGTGAAACTGAAAGCATCGTTACCTTCTCGATGCATCTAAAAATCGTGGGCACATGAGAAAAAAAAAGACCTCGACTGTCCGTCAAAAACTGCGAGTCGAAGGCAGCAGGTGTGTACGGAAGCAATTGTCCGTGAAAGTAAACGCAGCGAGACGGCGAAGAAATTTCGAACGAGAGTCTCGGAAGGGCTTCGCAACGCTTGTATCGAATGATATTTTTCCGTGAATTCAATGTCTGTCCGAGCGCATCCGCCGGGGATCCCCGTTAATAATATAATTCATTGTTCACCGATAGCCGTGGCCATTTTGTCGAGCACACGACCGCCAGGACGCGTTGAATTTAAACTATTATATTACCATCCTATTAAGAAAACAGTGGGTGAAACCGGAGCCACCGGTAGTCGGCCCTACCGCGGCCGTTTACCATAGCAATTAGCGTCTTTCGGTTAGTCGAATCCCGGCCCTTGAAACGCGTGCGAGAGCGCCGCGCGAAGGGGCGTAAATGTAATTAAGTGACGTTACCCGCTCGGTGCGTGAGCATCTAGCGCGACGAACGCACGGAAAGATTCGCGCGGATAATGATGTAATCAATAGGGCGGAATGGCGTGCTTTTAATAAGCCAGAGAGGAATTTAATTACGGGCCCGGACGCTAATGCAAGGTCACCGTCAAAGAATCTAATTAATTTAGGGTGGCGGCTGCACACGGTCTGAGTTGTAACAGGGTTACAAGTTTCCCTGTGTCGGTGAAACGTCGCAGGATTCGCTAAAAGCATTAGCTCCGCCCGATTTCACAGGTTGGAAAATTTACTGGAACGCCCGGCCGCAAACGATAGATCCCGCCCTTTCTTCTTGTTTCTTGTTTTTCTTTCCTCTTTTGGGGGGGGGGGGGGGGGGGGGGGAAAGGGGGGGGGGGGAGGGAGAGGGGGAGAAGGG